ACATATAAAATAGGGTTTTTAATGTAACTTGTAGAGATTTTCACGCTGCATCTTATAGTATACTTTGCTTTTAAAATCTGTCTACTAGAGGAGGATAAAAAAAGAGATACGAACACCAGTCATTCGTAGAACATCCGTTCGCTTTGAAAGTTGAGCACTTTTTATGCTTTGAATAATATTCATTTCTTTTTTTCTCTTAACTTTCTACAGAAATACGTTTATTTAGGGTTTCGTAGAGAATTTCACGACGCATCTTTTGGCAAAACAACCAGTTATAAAGATCAAAAAGAAAAAAAGTTATAATCAAAATACTGAGACCGCCATTTATTCTACCGCACCCGTTACATTGTTTATAACAATCATGGTTAGTGTTCTTTTTACTCTATTCGAAGCTGTAATAGAAATTCATGAAATACAAAACAAAGATTTCGAAACTGATTGAAAACTCGCATTTTTTTTTACCAATTCTAACTGATATTGAGACATGTGTTTTATATTAGACAAAACCTAAGAATTTCTTTGAAATTATCGTTCATAACTGATATGAAGAATCATTAGAGATCCCGTAAGTCTCAATAATGAAAATATTCTGAACTCCGATTAAAAAATTCAAGGTATTGATTTGTTTTTACTTACAAAAATATATGCCCAATATTGAAAATTACCGAACTCCTAGGGATTCTTCGTATCAGTTGTGAACGCTCTTTCCGAAGATATTCGCTGGATTCATCTAGTGTCCTGCATGGATACTATTTTTCACACCCGAACCAGAAATAATCGACATTTGGCAGGTATTGTTGAAGCCATATACACTTTTCAAATTTTTGCTTGCTATGAAAAAATATACTGTTATGTAATTTCATCAATAAACAACATTTCGAAAAAGCAAAAACAAGTGAATCAAGTGATTCAGTTGTTTTTTTTTGTGCTTCTGAAATTCTTTTAATTTCACTTAAGAATGGATATACTGAAAGAGAGTGTTCATGTTAAGTGTGATAATTGTGGATATTACACGTAAATATTTTTCCTCCGCGACAAAACATCTTCACTTTTTTGATAATTCACTTTGGTTTTTATATATTTAATTACTTCATCATATGGATCATCAGATTTTACTCTTTTGCTTTCATTATTATTAATCTTTTTATGTTACTTCTGATAATTTTTCACTAGGTCAAGTCCGAGTACTGAAAATTACGGCTCAATTTGAGGACACTATTTTTGTTTAATACAAACCATAGATCTTGAAATCAGTTGACATTGATTGAAAAATATGAATTTTCGAAACATCTATTTTGTATATCATGAATTTCGGATAGACCAATAAAAAATCTCCAGAAAATATATTCTCAATAAGAAAAAAAAATATATATCATCTTTGACATCGTTTTTATGCTTGTGACAACTTACAATTCTATGAACCAGGTCTTTTCATATTGACTCGATTTTCTGATAATCATAATATAGGCATATTATTCAGTACTTGTTTCAGTTGTTAAAAAAACAGAATTGGTCACTATATCCAGTTCTCAAAACAGAACACATTCATACAAGTAGAAGCTATCACACGTCTAAACATGTTTTATGAATTGATGTATCGATCTAGTCTGCTTGTCATAAACAGACTTGATGACCTGGTATATATAATGTTCTATAGATTATCGATTTCTCTTTAATTATTAGACATAACATGTACTTTTGAGAGACGGCTTAAATAAGTAATAGAAAAATCTATATAGCAAGAAATAGTCTGTTAACAATGAGAATAAAATCCGTTTCTTATTAAAAAAATAAATAAAATTTATTGATGAAGAATATTTTAATTTTTGGTTGTATCTTTTGTCAAAATGACTAATAGGTAAATATGTAGTGTAATGAGCTTTTTTTTGTATTAAATAGTTCGCATTTATCTTTGTAAAATAAATAGTAACACACACATAGACAGTCATCTTCAATTTATAAGCAATCAATCATCTAAATATGTATAATTTAAAAGATAAATATGTTGTCTTACTTTGAAATTTTTAAACTAGTTCATCTTCAATTTCAAATCATAACCTCTTTTTCTTACATATCAAGATTAATTTTTCAATGATTATGCAAGAATATTTTCTATTTAGTTTTTTTTTGTACCATCAACTATGACATTCATATTATATTTTACTAATATAAATCAAAACAATGTTCTTCTTTTAGTTTAATAATTATTCATAATTCATCGACAAACATTTCAATCGTTTTTGTTTTCGAAACCAAAAAAAAAATCGAAATCGTCTCTTTAATTAAAATATTAAATCAACAGAGGAATAAATTCTATTTTTTTTTTTTTATTAATAAGAAAAACAAAAATATACTACATAAAACCATTTTGAATACATAAATAACACACGAATATTTATATTTAGTAATAAATCGACGAACATAAAAGTTTACTATTATAATCCAAAACAAAAGAAGAAGAAACGAATATATATAAATATCATTGGTTTATTTCTTATCGTCGACAAATATGAGCCAGAAAAAGGAAGAGTGTATACCCGGTGACTGTACAAATATCAAAGTAACCGGCTATGCAATCCTCCTACCAAATGATTAATAAAATTCCGGGCTCGAATTCAATCGATGATATATGAACATATCAGAGGAAGAGTGTTATACCCGGTGATTTATTCATTATTCTAAATCATTATAACCGGCTATACAATCTTCCAACGAAAGAACAATAATTGAATAATAATCATATGAATAAATAAAATTAATTAATAACATAATCGCTCAAGCTAAGTGTAGAACCCGGTGAGGAGTTTTATCATATCAAACCTCAACCGTAATTCCACCTAGCCTAAGCAAACTATAATCATATCAATAAATATAAATTTTCTATGCAAATGATCGTGCTCTCAATTAGGATGAGTGTGAGATCTAGTCATGAACTTGCAAAATCCACATAGACTAAATAACACAATCATGCGAATCAAAGAGCTGCTTCTCAATAGTAGAGAGATAACAAAAAAATAAATAAAAGAAAGTCATCAACAATATAAGAAAAACGTGCACAATACAGCATGCATATAACATTGAAAAAAAAACAACAAGAAGAGACATAGAGCTCACCATGCAATCGAACAGAAACAAAATATGGATTTTCCTAAACCTTTTTTTGTGTTTTTTACTGACGTCATGATGAAGAAAAAATTGTAGACAAAGAAGGACGAATTTCGACGGCAGTGGACGACAATAACCGTTAAGAACAACGATGCGAATGAACGAACGGACGGACTGGACCGATGCTTGACCCTTTGTACATTCTCTTGTATGTGTTCTCTCTATGCATGCGTATAAGCATGCAAATCGTCGTTGTCGAAAAAAAAGAGAAGAAAAAGAAGAAGAAGAAGAAAAAAAAAACGTAGACTTGTGCACGCGTCCGACCGTTGTTAGCTGCTGTCTAATATGAACGACATGTTCAGATATGTACATTTCTCTTTTCTCCCGTTTTTTTTTTTTTGACCGAACATTGACCTGTTTCTCTTTCTTTTCTATGTACTATTTTTACATAGGACTCGAAGGCTGTATACTTATTCAAATACTGATGTGCGTTCACTCGCGCGTCTCTATGATTCGTTCATAACATTGTCCCGTTCAATCAACACATCGATAAAGTTTTTCTTCTTCTTTCTATTCTCGGCCAGACATACTGACCTTAAAGACGAGCGGGCAAATGAAAAGAAAGCACAAAAAAAAATGGTTGGCTCGGACACGGTATGTATCATGTGTCTGAGCAACATACATAGCTGGCTTAAAGCCAAATAAGTATGCATATGATGGTGGCGAGTCCACTCACCATTATCAACACAGAAGCCATTTGTGGTGAAATGAAAGCAAAACAAACGTCCATCGGTCGTCTATGATGTTCGAGAGTGAAGTAATTGGCCCAATCTCACGATAAGAAATAACATACCCGAAGAGGCTGACCGACGATAATAATAGGCTTCATGTATCTTTCGTTTATTTTCATTTGAATTGTGTCCAAACGAATTTACTCCTCCGGCTAACTCCTTACAGCGAACAAACGAAGACTATAAAGAAAGATTAGTCATGTTGTGTTTGTTTGACGACAGTTTCATGTTTTTCTTCTTTTTTTTTTGGGGACTGCTACTTAAAAGCATTTTTTTGTTGTTGTTTTTATACTGACCAAGAAAGATGAGTTCGCTTGGTGCTAATCAATCATATGCTATCTAGACATTTCATGTCAACACTTCGCTTGAATCATTAATAGTGATGATCTGTTGCATTAGAGAGAGGAAAAAAAACAAAATCGAAGTTAGTTGTCAATATATAAAAAAAAAGAAAAAGATTTAAAAATAGTTTTAATATTGTAAGAAAAATCAATGAAGTTCTTTTGTGAAAAAAACAAATAAAATATAATATTATTCTGCTGCTGTCAGGCTGATTTGGTCAATAGCAGCAGCAAGGATATTCGAAACTATAACTGTAGCTTGTTGACGAAGATGTTCGAGAACAATTGGATTATCTTCTTGATTATTTTCCTCAATATTTTCTTCTTCTTCTTGTTCCTCTTGCTCTTCTTGTTCATCATCATCAACAGATTCATTAGGAATAGTATCTTGCTGTTGTTGTTGTTGTTGTTGTTGTTGTTGTTGATAATGTCGATCATTATCTGTAGTAGTTATTAATTCATATTCATCTTCATGTTGTTTATTTGTTATTATCATTGTTGGTGGATTAGATTCATTGACCAGAGAAAATGAAACTTTATTAGCAACATAAGAAACACTACTTTGTTGTGCTGGTGATTGTTGTTGTTGATGTTGAGATTGACGACGATGACGATTACTACGATGTGTTGATGAAGATGATATAGCTCGCTCAAGAGAACGTCGACCTGTATACGAAAACAAACAAATAAATTCTTAATTTTAGACTTATTTTTCTATTCTAACCTCGTTTTCGTTCAGGCATTTGACTTCCAACATCAACATATCGTTCAGGATCTTAAATAATAATTTAATTAAAATATATTTTTTATACGAATTATTATTTTACCTTTAATTTTTGGTAATTTATGACGTTTTCCAAAAATTGTAGGCTTTAAATTTGATTGTCGACTTGAACTTCTTTCATATCGATTTGTTAAATCTTCTAAATCTTCTTCATGTTTTCTTTCACCAATTAAATCATAACTTAAATCTTTTCGTGATGTATCACCACCACCACCAGTTGAACTTGAACGTTGTTGAGCTTGAAGAATTTCACGAAATTTTTTAAAATGTGTTGCTTTTATATCAACTTGTTCAGGATTATTTCGATTAATAAATGTTCCATATTTAAGTAAAATTTTTGAATCAACTGTATCAAAACGATTATAACGGGCACCCGTTAAAAAATAATGGCTATTATGACCATCAGATGTTTGAAAATCAAATTTCTTTTTAATACGATGTAATTTTTGTTCTTGTTGTTCAACACAACGTCTATAACGTTGCTTTTCAATATTTGTTAAATTTGGTTCATAAACACGATTTAAGTGTTCAAAATTTGGATTCATTTTAACGTATCGATTTAATATACTATAAAGAAATAAAAAAGAAGAGAATATTATTGATTTCAAGAATCTTTGATATTCGTAATGAAAAAAAGATTTATCATATTCAAGTTCAATTATCATTTTTATTACTAAACTACCCATGATAATGCAAACATAGGCGACAAAGTCACGAGACTTGGGTAGATTGGTGTTTAGTATAGACTTCGGTATCATATAGTCTCTAACATCTGTTTCTCAGTCTATCAAATTCATAGATTCATGCAGTGTATCGGAATGCATATACAAACATTCAGATTTGTCATCGACTTCATCTATATAGCCAATGATTTGAAGAAGTACTTTTTTTGTTACGAATGAAGAAGAATTGTATGGGAAACTCAAGTTAGATAAACTATAAGCTGCCGAAAATTTTCTTCGTCTTCAATGGCTCGCGGGGCAACGTTTTTATATGTTCAATCACTTGTGAATTGGGTCCATGTGCATCACATGAGTTCTAATGAACTATGAATGCCCTAAAAAGAGTTTGGACTAATAGCTTATTACTGTCGAAACACTGTAAGTTTTAGCAGAATGCAGTAATAACTCTCATAAATACGAGAAAAACTGAGCTTTACTTCTATCCTAAGATTTGACTATAGTAAAAGCACGTTTTACATGCCGCTCGTATACAACAGTGAGTTTTCAAATCAGAATTTGAAACTCAGTTTTCTTAGCACTACTAAGTGGACCACCGCATTTCGTTAAAAAATATAGAATCTCGGCAGTAATAAACTATTAACCCGAACTCTTCAGAGCCTTCATAATCTATTAGAGACTACATGATGCACATAGTCCAGATTCAAAAGCGATTTGATACTAAGAAATATTCTTTTGTCAACTTACATGCCTAAGAAATGTTTTCAATAAAATGAGCAAACTCACAACGCAATTTTTTTTGTGAATACTGATGCTTCACTATTAATTGTGTTTTTGAGTAAAGTAGACAGAAAAATCTTCTTTCGAGAGTCGAAATAAAATAAAGACAAATGTTAGCATATTTCTTCAAGTGCACTTTTTTTTCTGAACCTTACCAGCTTTATACAATGTAAAATAAAATGTGAGTTGAAAACAAGAAGTATTAATTATCTTTCATCTGAACAGCGTAAATAGATTCGCCCTCTCTCTATTTTTTTTTTAACTTGCTGGAGGGCATCTTGTAAAGATTGTTGAGTATATACTCTTCTAGACTCAAAACGTTTTGCTTCCTATCAATTGAAGAACTATTCATATTCATTTTTTTGTTTTATACAATGATTAGATTTTTCCAAAAGGGAATTTTTGATCAATAAATTTCTGCAAAATGCTGAAAAGTCTAATTAGGGTAAAAAAATTCCATTTGAATAGTTCTTGAATTATCATGTTCCTATATCAAAATTCAATATCTTAAATAATTGAATATATCCGGTCAGGTATTCATTACGAATAGCTCATATTTTTTTTTTTGGAATCCTTTTGCTAGACGGTGAGACTTCTTATTTGACTGAAACATAGCGAACCTTTTTACACTTACAATAAAAAAAAAAAAAAGCTTGATTGTAAGGAAACGTGTTTTTATTTTAGTTTGTTAGAACGGATATTGCTTTGAAATTAATTGAAGCATAAACTAGAAAATTATAAATTGAAAAATAAATAACAATTACAGGTTAAACTGAGTATGGCAATGTAATAAAAATAGTATCTAGATCATGACGACGGAGTGCAATGTTTTAATAAATGTATAGCTGAATTTTAAGAGTTTCCAGACAAATGAATTTTCACTAATGAATACTTACTCAGTTCGACGAGGCAATCGAAAGGTTTCCGTTTCATAGAGATTGTCATTGCGAAATTTTAGTTCTGTATCAGATAAATATTGAAGAAGAGGATTTGTATGTATCGGTTGTTTTTCTTGATGTTTATAATATGTTTCATAATTAAAATGTGGAGCAGGTGATGTACTTCGATGTTCTTTATTGCCATAGACATGGCTAGGATCACTCTAAAGGGAAATTTTTGTATTCCAATGAAATATATTTCTTATTGTTTTATTGATCTTTTTTTTTTATTACTTTATGTACAGTCGCCATAATTGCCTCCTATCTTCAAATTTCTGTTTTTTTTTCGAAATAAATAATTTATATTTGCCTATTGTATGCTTTCATTTCTATTCATAGGTGTCTTAGTAACAGCCTCCTTTATTCCGATTCAAATATTTCTGTTTTGTTTTTATTGTTCTTTCTTCATCTTTCTGTATTCAATACCCAATCTGTTATAAAACAAAAAAAAAACGCACACACACACACACACACTTTGACAAAAAAATAAGATAACTGAATAAATCAAAAGAAAAATAATAGAATTTTTTTTGTTTTGAATAATCAACAAAATCTTGATTTTTCTTTTATATAATAACATTAATGTTCAATCTGACGTCGTAGATTTTTCTTGTTTATTTCCTAATGTCGACGTCGTTTACCACCATCAAGTAGATCACATCCATTCATTTCCTGGAAAAATAAAAATAAAAAATTATATTGTTTTTATTCATTAAAAAAAAAACTATTTACAAAACAGCGTGATTTATTATTATTATTGGAAAATGGATAAAATGATGTTTCGTTGTCACTTTCATCATCATCAACATCATCATCGTTATCATTATCATTGCCTGATAATCTTGTTGGATAAAATAAATCAAGTTCACTACTTGAATCATCCGATGAAGTCTATATATATATATAACAACTAATAAGTGTTATTTTCTTTATGCTTTTTTTTTTTAAATACAAACTTCACTTCGTTGACGTTTGAATGAACCAAGTGCAGGGAATCGATTAAATGAGCTAGATACTATTTGAGATCTTTGATCTGATGTTTCATTATTATTATTATTATTATTTATTGATATTATATTATTCAGATTATTTCCTACATCTAAAATAAACATATGAATGAATATATAAATAAGTAGCATGAAATAATGAATAACGAACCCCCCGCATTTTCAATCGTTGGTCGCAATGGTGATGAGTTTATAAGACGTTGTTGTTGAGCACCTTGTATAGCAAGAAGAATATTTCTTTCATCGTCATCATCGTCATCAGAACTTGCTGCTGATGATGATGATGACGACGACGATGACGATGATGATTCATTACTACTACCACTACTGCTGCTATTGACAGGTAAAAATAAAGAGGATGATTGTGCTGGTGTATATAATTCTTGATTTCGTGATATTGATGATGAACTAGCAGCAGTAAGTGAAATATTTGAATTTGAATTTTCATTCCATATATTAGGTGCTGATAAAAAAGATGGTTGTTGTTTATGTTTTATTAAATATTGAGCTAAACGCCAATCATTTTCCGCTAAAGAATAAGGAAAAGAAAACATTTTTTTTTTTTTTTTCTTGTTTCGATAAATAGTTACATGATAACATAGCACCGAAAAGTTCATCAACAGTAGTTGGTAGTGTATTTTCAGGCGGTAAAAGAACTTTAAGTAATTGTAATGCATGTTTAACTGTTCGTGGTTTCATATTAACACGTAAGACAACATCAGCTATTTCACGTACAGCTTGTTTTCGTGTTATTTTTGATTCGGCATATAAGAGAACATCAGTAATATTCTAGATTTTAAATACGAAAGAAAAAAAAAAAACAAGATTGTTTTCTTAAAATTTGTAATTCAGTATGATTCTTACATGATTATCATTATTTGTTGAATTATTATTGTCTATTTGTAATGATCGAATCATATCCGATGACATATTGTTGATGATTAAAAAAAAAATATCTTTATTTTTTTTAAAAATCAAATCTACAATGTTCTAATAGAAAAGAAAAATAATTTTATTATTATTTTTTTTCTTCTATAAGAAAATTTTGAGTTGAAATCTAAATTCAATTATTTTCTTGACAAATAAGAAACATTTTATAGATTGAATTAAGTTATTAATCTTATCAGTATGTATCTAAATTAATTCTTTATTAAATTAAGATTTGAACGATAAAAAATATACATTTCATCAAACTCAAGAATTGCTAATTATTTCATAAAACGTACCAAATATAGTCCAATTATCGACATTCTCCATCAGATGATTATTAAGATCACTGAAGATTCTTTCTTTTTTTTTAATCAATAAATCATAATACTAGAAATTAAAAGAAAATCTAATTATTAGACATATGAAATGTCCAAATCTCTTTTTCTCTCACACTTTGTTTTTGTTTAAATCAAGAACAACAAACATCACATACATAGACAAACGAAACAATTAAACTTTCACAGAAGTTAAGAATAAAAAACAAAACCAACAAAAGAAACAAATTTAAGAACAAAGAAAGACTCATTTTTCGATCTCATTTTCATTACTATTTGTATCCTTATTTATTGATGTTTTATCGATAATAAATGGATTTTCATAAACAATATTTTTCGATGTTGGTAGTAATAATGGCATATCATCAGAAGCACGCCTATAATTATCAATAAATATATCAAAATAAAACTTCAAAAAAATATTCTTACCATTTGCTATTTACCCATTTATAATTACGAGCAGTTGGCAATGGCATACGAGGATGTGAATACATACAATTTGGACGCATACATTGTGTACCAAATTTGCATACCTTAAATTAAAAATATAATAGATATTCTTAATACATATATATATATATTTGTTTCTATTGACACTAACTCAATAATAATATTTCAATCGATTTCACAAGAAATATTAGTTGTACATGAGAAAAAATAACATAGTTGTAAACCAAAAACTTATTATAATGAAATTCATTTTTATGATTAAGACGACGAATGTATGATGCAAAATGATCAATTAACTATTAATTAAAAATTTTCAATTTTTCTACCCTCAGGTAAAAAATTTCGATCGAAAATCATTGAGAAAAACATCAAACGAAATTTAATTTCTAACAAGTAATCTCACATCGTTCTGAACGATTTAATCTTAAGATGTACAATGTTCATGTAAATATTGATAGCGACTCATCGACATAAACATTCACGTTCGCCGTAGCAATGAGACAGTAAGTCTATCAAAATATGCCCTTTTTTGTAGCTTTGTATACTAACTGTATTGAGTCAGTAGTTAATAAATTTAACATCTTTAATTTAATGACTAAATTTCGGATTATAATTCAAAATTAAATCAATAATCCATCATATACAATTTTTGTTCCTCCCCTTAATAAATTTAGTAACTTGTAAAAACTGCGAAATTCGTTACAGCTGCAAGAACGAAGATAGAATTCAAAACAATTATTGTAAAGACATCTATTCTAGACTGTTGTTTGTTTTCAACAGGAATATAGCCTTTCTACTAAACACGAACATTTATGGGTAATTTTGATTTTTTTTCTTATAGAAAAAATATTTTACAATTAAAACCAAGGTAACCATGAGCGTTCGTATGTGTTCCTGTCTACCAAAAAAAAAAAAGCTCTATTCTAGTTTACAATAAAAATTCCAGCTCAAAATGTGTTCGTAGCTTTTACCGGCACTCAATAAATTTCGATATGAATTTACATCTTTAAGATGAAAATACATATTAATTATGTTCTATAGACTATGATTAATAAACAAAAACAAAAAAGCATCGGACGAAAGAAAACCAATCGATTTATTTAATCTAACAAATAAATATTTGTCTTAAAGACTTACAGTTGAACTTTCCGGTCGATTTGTTATTGATGATCGTCCAACAGTTGCATTGCTATTATTACTTGATGAAGGTGATGATGCAGGAGTTGATAATGAGTGTAAATAAGGACAATTAGATTTTACACAAATACTACCAAAACGACATGGCGGATGAATATATAAACATTCTGTACCATATACACAATTAGGAAAATGTCTAAAATAAAGAAAAAAAAAAAAAATTTAAAAACAACAAAAAAAATACTCATTTCTTATAGAAAAAAAGTTTGATTTACGTGCAACGTTGTGTTGGATGAACAAATTCACATTGATCACCATTATGACAATCAGGCCAAAAACGGCAACGTTTTGATTTTTTCGATGATGCTGATAATGGATTTGTTGGTGGAGAATATTGTTGTTCCTCATGATCATCTGATATTATATCATCACTTAATTTACGTTTAAATATTCCATTTCCTCGTCCATCTTCATATTCATTTGTATTTATATTATTTCCATTATCATTATATGGATAATCATTTAACATCCAAATATTATTTATATCATCACCAGTTTCATAATCATTATTTACAACAACAACAAACTAAAGTATAAAATTTTTTGTTTTTTTTTTCGAAATTTAAAAGTTCATATATATTACTTCATCTTCTTCATCATCTTCAAATTCCATTGGTGATATATGTTGTTCATTATTTGATTTATTATCATCTGTTGTTGAACAATATTCATTTCGTATACGAATTTTCATTTTACCTAATGTTGGTTCAGATTTATTAACTAAACTTGTTGGATCAATCCATGTTGGTTCTTTAGCTTTTAAACGTTTTGCTAATGTTCTTGTTGTTAAACATTCTGTTGTACCATCAGGTTTCATAACTTTAACAACACCATTTGTTTTATTTAATTTCATTAAAACACTTTTATTTGCATCCGAAACAGCTTGTAAAAGAAGTTTTTTTGTTGGTTCATTTTCTCGTTGTTTACGTTCATTATTTTGATTTTGACTTGATTTTATTAATGATTCTTGTTGTTTATTATCATTCTCATATTCATTATTATTATGAAGAATTGTACCTATTTGAGAATAAAGTGTACGTTGTTTTTTTTGTACTGGTTCATTATCACTAAGACAACGACCACTTTTTAATATACGATTAACTGATGAACCAATTTCAAGTTTACGTCCACTGGATAATATTCTATATGAACTTTCATTTGCCATTATTATATCTAAAACAACAAAACATTAGGATGGCTTCATGTACTAGGAAATCAGGTAGAAAAAAAAAACCAGAAAAGAAAACATTTAATAGAACTATGTTTGACTATTGAATGCATCAGATATAGCTGTTGTAGCTGATGCTGTTTGTTGAGTATCGGATGTTGAAGATTTTTCTTTACTTCCATATAATTTTGGATATTTAGAAAAACATTCTGTTAGTGCTGAAAATTCTGAAAAACATTCAGAACCTTTAGCTTTGGAATCACTATTATGAAAACATGCAAATGCTCGACGAAAAGCAATACCACATGGACCTGAAGCCATACCACCAAGACATGGACAATCCCAATTAATTGAACCATTTGGTAAAATCAAACCTTAAAATAAAATACAAACAATGTTTTATTTATATCCAATTAATATGGAAATCTTTTTTTATGGATTTCGTGAGTTATGATTTCATGTCATTTTCTAGAATATTATTATTTTTTCTATTCAGTAATTATTCTCCTATGAAGCGTCACACTTATGAAAACAATTCGATCATAAATAAAATTTTAATTTAATTTTACAATGAATTTTAACAATTCTGTTTCGCCTATTCATAGATTTCGATTAGAAAGAAAAACATCCAGTATTTTGATATTTGATAAGTCTAACTAGAAAAATAAATATGCTGTCAAAATTTTAGCATATGTTTGTTATTCGATCCAATAATTTTTCTATTACAAGCTCGATAAAGAAACTAACTATTAGTAGTAAAAATAAGAAGAACTTTAGAGTGTTAATGAAAAAAAAAAAAAGAAGATTTCCAATTAAAATAAACATACCATGTTGTTCCCATGGATCGAATGGTTCATCTTCTTTATGTTTAATTGTAGATGGAGAACTTAAATCATCTTTCGTTAAAAACATAACTTTATCTTTTCCATTATCTAAATAATAATTTTTAAAAGTAAAATATGAAATTTTATTTTTCTTATTTTTATTAATCATACCTTGTTTTGTACAAAAGGACATTTTTAATATGAGACAGCTATGCAATGATTCAAACGGCTTGTTTCATTAAATGACAGACACTTGGTAAAATACAATATACACTTATACAAGAATGGTTAGAATAAACACCAATAGAAAATTTGTTTGTAACCTCTTTGAAAGTAAACCAATCGATGGACGACTTTTTTCTTGTGGAAAACAAGAAGAATATTAATCTAGCTGCGATATCGATTGTTGTTTAAGAAAGAGAAAAATCGTTTTCTTTGTTTACTTTTATTTATATTTATTTTTCAATATTCAATCAATCAATTAAGTATTGCTATATATGTATTTTTTTTCTCTCTCTCTCTCTTATAGAATTTTTCATTGAATCTTCTCGTTTTTGTTTCATCAGTTCTTTCAGAAGGAAAAAGAAAGATAAGAGATTACATAGTTATGACCGAACAAAAGGAAGAGAGAGAGAGAGAGAGAGAGAGAGATTGAGAGAGAAATAGAGACAGACAAACACAGAGAGAAATCTTCAAAATATGTATGGATGATTTATCATTCATTGCGGCAAGTTACTTTTTTTGCGTTCTTTATGCATCCGTCTTATTCTTTTAATGATGTTGCATGTACGTGTGTATGTGTATTCTAGGAAACCTCGTAAGAAAATAGAAGGAGAGACAGAGAGAGAACAACGCGACGAGTGAAGGAAAAGATTATAATACGAACAAACACCGAGGCACATAGGTATACGAATCTATCGTTGTCGTATGAACAAGGGAAGCTTTGCGCTTTGGTGACATATCGTACTAGTCTAAGTATAGACATAGATCGAACATTTGTCTGTACTGTAGAATATCGAAAATATT